CAATAATAATAAGAGAATTTATTTTTTTGTTTCACATGATATTTTTTTGTATGCTTATCAAACTTGACAATTATAATTATGCTTTCTACAATTCGTTGAAATTTTGATACTGCTATATCAATAATTTTTTTACATTGTTCTTTCTATTCGAATTTATATATATATATGTATGGCATAACTTTTTTCTTTATTTTGAAAAAAAATGAAATATTTACTTCACTGATATCGCCTGGCTAAAATGAAAACATAATTAAAGATCAATAAAATTGTGAACGTAAAGATCGATAAAACTAAGAACATTCAATGAATTATCCTGTTAATATTTGACTTATCACTACAATACATTCTCGGCCAATTTTACTAATAGCTTGTTGAATTTCTTTTGTATCTTCATGTTCATTTAAATATGAAATAACAATTGTTGCACCTTCACGTGCAAATGCCCAAGCAACAGCTCGACCAATATCAGAATCACCACCTCAATTAATAATAATGATTTTATAAGAAAAAACAAATCGTTCATCATTCTTATCAGTAATTACAGTAACTTTGCCTTCAAGTTTTTCAGTATCTTTATAACTATCAAGACCATAATCTGAAAACTGGATCCATTTTATAATCATAACCGGGTGAATCTTGTTCTTGTCTTGGCAATGATGGTTATGAACCAGCCTAATAGAAAGACTTTCTTGATTTTATTTAAATAATATTCAAACTAGCATTCTTTGGATCGTCATGAAGTTCTTGTTGTGACATATTTGTAAAGCATTAGAAATAGGTGCTTTGATTTCCGAATAGTAGAATGTAATAGAAATAAGAATGAATTTATTTCTTTTATATCAAAGAATAATCACATGTTGTGGACACGTGCGATGGCTGAAGTAAAGACAGAACCATAACTGCAACGATTAGTTCTTACAATAAACGAATAGAAATATATAAAGAGTGGAATATTCTTTTAACATCACACACGTAGAGTCATTTGTAAAGGATATTCAGATGAAAATCGCATTTTTTGGTTGACCACCTTCCTTTCCCTTGGACATACACTGTCCAAAATTTTTCTTCGAAGGAGTCTATTTGTTCAAATATATCGTTATTTTTTCTGTGTATTAAGCGACGGATATACAGGATTTTTTCGTACATTATGTATCGTAGAATTCAGAGAAGTTACTCTTTTAATGATGACGGATCGAAATCAATTTAAATTAAAAAATTTCGTAAAAAATACTTAAAAATCAATAGAAAAAAAATTATGAAGTGTTCTGACGTCTACGTGTATTTGATCTATTATCATGTCCTTCCTCTTTTTTCTGAACATTCCTATGAATGATTAAGTGCACATGCAAAATAACTGTATGTCTCTGGAATATAATTCAAAAGATTTAAAAAAATCTCTATTCAAAGCCTATTCAATTGCTATTTGTTCATTTTGCACAACAGATGAACCTAAGTACCAAAGCTGCTATTTTTCACTATAATTAAATAAGTTTTTGTCAATCAGACCGCAAAATTTTCATAAGTTTCGGCCCCCTTTTTTAATATTTTCTGGATCTTGGCTATATATGACGATGAATGAGTATTGAATATATGTATTTGAAGAGTAGCATATAAGCTATCATTCAAGAGAAATTAAGCTCAACTTCTGTCATCAATACAAAGAAAATGGTAAAAATATCGAAAACAACTTATCAAATCTATTTTTTTTTGATGCAATCGAACGTTTCGGAGCTTCATATTTTGTCTATGATACGTCGTATCTCCATAAAGAGAAAAGCAACTGTCCTGGAATTTTCATTATCAAATGATTCCGTTATGTGATAGTTTATGTATTATTCTTTGAATACGACTAAGATAGGAAAATTTTTTAAAAAGAATCAAAAATTATGCAACATTCTTTGTAAGTTATTTTAAAACACGCTGCCATCGATTCAAAGCGATTATTGAGAAACATGAATCCATTCTTTTATATCTTTTATTGTAGCATTGAAAGATAGTCTCGATTAGTTTTTTCGGAGTCGATCAAAGGTTTCAAGTTCAACACCTGAGATAACAATACAGCAGCTACTCGAATCTATTGTTTGAGATTTATTGGATTTATTCAAACTACTGGATTTCTCTGGACTCTTCCTGTCGATAGCATATGATATATTTTAATTGTATCAAAAGAGACCTATAGTTCTAAAAAGTAAGTCTACAAACTAGTTTCTTTCGTTTGATGATAAAAGATGTAGCAAAGCTTATAGAAGAATCTACTTAAATTTTTGAAAAACTTAAATCCTAGAAGCTGTTGTTTTTGTTTATCAATCCTTACAATTGATGTCGCAAAATAAATACGCATCTTAGTATATTATCAAAATTTCCGTCAATGCCATTACTTTGATTAGAAGTTTTTATCAAAAGATTTCTCGTTCGATTCTTTAGAAACGCGTATAAAATATTTAATTATTAAAACTAATAGTTAAATATTCTAAATTGAAGACTGAGATAAGTTTAATTTACCCTTTTTTTAGCGGCTGTCTTTGTGACCCATGTCACATGTTTGTTTGTACTACCACAGGTATACTGCGGTAGAATGACGGTCCAAGGATAGACAAACGTGTAAGTATCAAACTATCGCCAATTGACTACAGAGCTTTTGTCGAGTTCGATTAATATAAAGAAATGCAAAAAAAAAATTAATCTTCCATTCAGAAGATTTTGATAAGTTCTTTTTGAATATTAAATGAAATTTCAGTTGTAGACTTTTTCTTATACAGATATTCCGAAGACTTCAGTAAACCATTGAAAACACTTTATAAAACTCTTAAGTTTATGTTTTACTCTAATTATTTTTTGTATTGAAAGACTATTGCTATTGTAAAAATAAATGATTTACTTGTCAAGCCTACGCAACGATTATTGGTTTTGTAAAAAAGTTTTTCAAATAAAAATATGAATTTCAGCGATTAATCATCGTTTATAAAAAAACAACTCGACATGTGCGTGTCACACTATTTTTTAAATAATCTCAACTATAGGTGAAGCAAAAGAGTAGAATTAATAAGTGAGACAAGCATGACTGACCGCATATTTAGACATAGAGAAAAGCAGAGCAACTGATGAAAAAAAAATACTATTACAAAGTCTACTACTATGGCGTTTGTTCATAATTAAACTCAATGAAAGTTCATGATCTAAAGATTTTAAATAAATAGAATAAGATAAAATTTCAATTTATTTTGAAATTTGAGATTATTTTCAACAATATTTATATCCATATGTAGAATTTATTATTAATAATTTACATTTATTTTCGGTTTATTATATAAGAAATATTCATTTTTTTAAATATCAAATGAAAATAATTTCAAAAAAAAAACATGAAACTAATTTGTTCTAATAAAACTCAACAATATACCACAATGTTTTTCATTAATGTAAAAACTAACATGTAAACATATGTACAAAATCACCTATAGTAATGAAAAAAAAAAATACGTCGTTAAATATTCTCATGCTTTTTTCTTTTCACGCATGGTTTTCTTTTCTAATACACAATGTGTACTTGTTTTTCATCTTCGGTTTACTATTACGATACAATCAGCATATAAAAAGAGACCACAACGTGAAGTAATGATATAAAACACATCGCTTATTCATCTATCGTTATTTGTTTTTTTTTTTATACAATGGCTCACGTTCATTTTGGATATCGAGGATATCCAGTTCGATCACCATTAGCATACTATCCAGTACTGCATCATGTTCCAGTACATCATCAATCTTCAGTAGGAAATAGACATGATGTACCAAGACATTTACCTGTTTTACATGCACCAACATATCCTGGAGAATACAATTTTTATGAAGGAGAAGAAGAAGAGCAAGAACTATACAACTATTCACCAGTTGTAATGCCAGATCAACATAGAAGATCAACATATTACTCAATAATGCGAGCTCCAACTTTTATGTCATTACAAAATTATTATAAACGATCATCTCATCGATATTTTCGACCTAAACATTCATCATATATCTATTATTGACGTTAAACTATTGTTTTTCTTGTTTTATTAATAAATTTTATATAAGAATAAATCATTTAATGATATAGAAGAATATCTACAATGATAATTTTTGAATAATATTTTAGATTAGTGACATTTTTATTGCTCGTATATTTTATAATGACAATACATTCATCTAAAAGTACTTGAGAAGTACATAATACTAATTCTGAAGATCATCAAATAATATCCTTCGAATTATATTCTTTTTTTTTTTTCTTCAAATTGTTCAAGCTGGCCATTATTACCTTACATAATCGAATCATCTCAAATTTCTTTATCCAATATTAATAATAATCAACATGTTCTCAACTATCTCAAATAACAATTTTAAACAGATTTCAAATAACCGCTATACGTCAAGGCAGTTTTTTTTTCGAAGTATACTACTAAACTACTTCGAAGGACAGATTAGCAAGCTGTATATTTGATTTAGTTTTTACTAGTTAACTAAATCTTTCATCATATTAGTGTAATGGATTTATAAATCAGTGATTATAAATAAAGAATAGTACATGATAAGAAATTGATTTTCTTTTCTTATATATAAAACATAGAAAAATGTCAAATAAATAAAGGAATATATGATAAAAATTCCTTCCTTCCTTCTTTCTTTCTTTCCTTCCTTTACCCTTTTTTTTTTGTTTGTTTCGAACGTAAATATTCAAAGAATGAACATATTGAATAGATCAACATGTTAGACAACAATATTGATAAAACTTATATTTTTATCAAATAAATACATGTGTCAATAATTGAATTTCCTTTTGTTTAAATGTCGATATTTAAGAATGTTGTTTCTAAAAAGAAACAACGATCATAAAAATTTTATATATTTATTAAAATAAATAAATAAAAACTTATGTTTTATGTTTGAGTCATTTATATGTTTAAATCGATGTATTCGATTTATTGATTGATATACAAAAAACAAAGACAGATACTATTTCTTATTATGTACATAGATTAAATTATTACATAAGTTGAAAATTGATATATCAACAAAATTTTGTATTTTATTCAACTGATCTCAATTAATATAAAAAAATAGAAAAAGAAAATCGTGTTTTATTTCAAGATTACATCAATTTTAATTAATAGATTATGTCTGAGACTTACATAAAACAATAGTATGATAATATTTCACCTACATGACATTTGTTATTTGTCCAAGATATAATGTACACATCTATAAATCGATATTAAATTTAAGTTCAAATCTAGTCTAATCTTATAAGAAGACGACGAATAGATATATAAACTTTCGTATTAATACATCATCATAGATATCTATATGTCAAAAGGTAGTAGACTATTTTGTTTGAAACAGATTAAGTATGGTCCAAGTATTATTCTCATAAGACAAGATTGAAGAGCTTACATATCTTGTATGAATACAACGAATTTGACTTTAGAGGATATATACAGAGTGGACTACTGAGCTGCTTACATATCTTTATTGTTACATATATATAAAAATCTGATCTTATACAAATATCGTCGTTTAATCAATGCAGTTGCATCAGATAAAGAACCATAGAATTCAATCATCCAAACAGAAGCAACAAAATAATAATGATGATTATGTGGATTGAGACGAAAGATACATATGATGAAAACTATATTGAACAAAAGAAGAGGAGGCGAAAGGATCAACTATCTTTCAAGTAACATGTATCAGAAGAGACAGAGGATTTAAGAGAAAAAAAAATATAACGAATAAGTAGGTGGTGCAACAAATAGACAATTTGTTTTTACTATTGCACATTGTTAAAACTATCTATTTCTACTCATCGTTGTGAGTAGGAGCTATAGATCAAGCCCGGTCAAATCAAAGAAAAACGACTGATGCTCAATATTTATTATCAAATATTTGTTTTCTCAAGTAAGTTGTTATTCGATTCGTTCTTTTTTTTTTCTATAATGACATTGACACATACTTATAAAAATGTCATTGAAAGTTCGATTCGTATTTAAATTACAATTGATCATTATTATTAGTAAAATAACCTCGAAAAAAAAAAGGTGTGAACCTCTGCCATTTTCTCCTGTTTCTAAGATGTTCTTTTTTCTAACAACATTTTATAAGCCTTAATGAAAGATAATATTTATAAACAAGGTTAGCTCCCCCCTTTTTTTTTTCTTTTATTACTCAAATATACATTGTATGAATGACTTTCTTTTATATTTGTTTTCTTATATGAATCGTACAAACAAAATTTTACGTTGAGAAGACACAAGTGAGAGACATTAAAACGATTGCTACATCGATCTAGTAGTAAATACGTGTAGTGTGGGTGTATTACTAAGATTAGTTCGTCAATATTTGCATCACGAACTCAACTATTGTGATAATAGCAGTGAACACGAAAAGTATATGTGTATTATGAACATGTTGATCGGTAAAAATAAAGAAGAATAAAAAGCGACGGACATAAAATGTCGGATTAAAACGGCGCCGCCGTACTATAACAAAGATGAACGTGATGTAATTGGAGATGATCGGGTGCGAAAAAAAATAGAAAGCGTGATGTTCGTGTGTAATTGCTTGATGACGCGTCACGTACGCAATCTATACGACAACGTACACATAGAAATCGTTCGGAAGGTCAGCAACGATCGTCTTAAGAAATAAAGGAAACGAAAAAAAAAATGATTTAGAATATAAATTTCTTCTTATGTCTCTTTAGTTAATATCTTTGTTCTCTCATTTTTCTTTAGTTCTCTCTATTTTGTTGTGTTTAAAAGAGAGAGAGCGAGATGGCTAACTGTTGGTTGATGGTATTTGATAGTGAATTAGAAAGGATGACTTTACCAATGGAATTTAGTCGACGAAGAAGTGGGTGGGAGAAATAAAGATCGAAAGAGAAACAGAGAGAGAGAGAGAAGAGAGAAAGTGAAAAAATAGAGAGAAGAGAAGAGAAGACAGACAGCTTTGTGACTATCAACAATTTGTCAACTTGCGAAGTGAACGGCAGCTGAATTTACTGTCATTCACTTTCTTGCTCGATCCTTTTTAAAGCATACATATTTTAACATACACATATACTATGAAGCAGAAATATATCATCAGTAAGTTAATAAACATATATATATATACATACAGAAAATATATATGTCTATAATATATAATAGGTCTTCTGAGTATTCTGTCTGCAATAACAATATATTTGCCAGATGAAGTGACATCATTTAAACTTTGTCCTGAACATGGTTTAACAGATTCATCTACAATAATTTATTATCCAAATGAAAAATTTTGTAATGTTTATCATAAATGTAATTGTACAAGTACACAATGTAATGTTGTTGAATCTCAAGTCTGTCCAATGGCAAAAGTTTATTCAAAAACTAAAGAAACATGTTTAGGTTTGTATATTTTATTAGGTCATGTTGCTTTTTTTTTTCAAAACAATTTATTTCTAGATATTGAAGAAGAAAGTTGTGGAACAACTTATGTTCAATGGATACAAACTCATAGTAGTAAAACTAATACAAACAAAGATGAAGTTGCTATTATGATATCCGATTCTCTTCTTCCATCAACTACAAATAATGATTTTGAATGTGACCAAGATCAGCCGGGCAAATTTAGGTATGCAATCAATAAAAAAAAAAAAAAACGATTAATTATTAAAATTGACATTTTGTTTCTTTAATTTAGTGATCCAAATATTTGTAATATGTTTCATGTTTGTATTATTCGAAATGATAAAATAGTTGATCAACCATTTATGTGTCCATTTCCAGCTGTATTTAAAACTGGTCCATCAGGCAATATGTATTGTGCTCATCCAGAATTTGATGATTGTAAAGGAAAAGTTTTCTTTCGTTCAACAGAAGGTTTAACAATAATGACAACAGATAATAATGATATACTTAGTTATCTTTTACCAAAAAATACACTTATGCTTGATAAATGTTTACAACCAGGTTTATATGCTGATAGTCTTTATTGTAATGCCTATCATAAATGTACAATAAATGGTGAAGATGAACAATATTTATGTGAAAATCAATTACTTTTTAATCCTGAATCAAATATTTGTGATTATCCAATAAATGTTGTTTGTGGAGGTAAACATTTTTTAAAATTATTTCTAAAATTCTTTTTTTTTTTTCTTCTCAATATTAGGTAAAGGTTTACTTCGTCGTCCAATTGATTTTTCAAATGGTACAATTATAAATTCATCTTCAATAATGGTTTATGGTACTGAACTTCATCCTGAATGTCCATCAGATATTTCAAATGTTTTAATTGGTGATAAAAATTATTGTAATATTTTTTATCATTGTCAATCAGGTCATGGTTCAGTTTATATGTGTCGTGAAGGCACAGTATATGATTCAAGTATTCAAAAACGTGTTGGTTCATGTCGTTTAGAAGAATTTGTTGATTGTGGTCAACGTTTAATATTAACATCACATGGTAAACGTTTATCAATAAATTCGAAAAAATCAAATACAAATAGAAATCAATATGATACAGAAACAAATGAAAAACGAACACCATTAGGAAGAAGTATACAAACACGATATTCAAATTTTATATTATTACCACCACCAATGCAAAATCAAAAAGTTATTGTTAATGTTCCATTTGATTGTAAAGGACGTGTTGATGGTCATTGGCGTGATGTACGTTATTGTGATGTATTTCATGCTTGTCTTGCTGGTGAACAAAAACGTTCTTATGGTTGTAATCAAATCGGTGAAAGATTTTATTTTGATGATGCCTCACAAAAGTAATAAGAATAGATTTTTTTTTTAGCAAAAGAAAACAATGTTTCTTTTTTCTACAATTCTAATGCTATTTTTAGATGTGAATTTACAAGTCGAAATCTAAATGGTTGTCAATCAAATCAATATTTTACACCTATTGAACCAATACCATCTATACCCGGTTCACAATTAAGTACAGGTAAAACGATCTTAAAGGTGTAGATTTTCATTTCATTCATCCTCTTATAAACATCGTG